CAGTGAGCATGTGCGGCGCGGCGGCGTAGTGAGCATGCCCCCAGCTCTGCACATGAGCACTGGGGCCGCGGAGCCTCCCCCCCCGCCCCGGGGAGGGGGCTACCGCCCGGCCCTGACACCCTCCGCCTCTCCTCGGGGCAGCGGGGAGCAGGGGACAGAGCAGAGGGGGTGACAGCGCTGTGCAGCCGCGCAGGACGGGGGGGTGACACGCACCACGGACCGCAGGCGGGGGGCAATGGATGGGCAGCCGCAGTTGGGGGCTGGGCTGTCATCGAGAAAAGTGGACGAGGAAGGGACAGATGGTGCTGGTCGAAAAGGAGCGAGTGGGACGGGCCGGCACAATATGTTGTTGGGTTACACTCTGAATTAGGTGGGGTATAGTATTAATGATGGTGTATAGTATAAATATGTGATGCCAGTGTTGTGCTGTGTAGTGTTGTGAAATTCCTAATATACAATTATATGTACACACACATGCACAACTAACGCTATTTGTGTATATGCATGCACAAATACACACACAAATATATACAAATACATGAGTATACACACACATACACACAAATATGCACACACGTAAATATACACACATACGTGTGTATATGTATATGTACACATTAATACATACATGTATATACATATGCACATGACTATATACACACATATATAAATACACACATCCACACATATACACACACACACACACACACACACACACACATAGAGAGAGACATATGTATACACACAGAGACACATATTTGTGCCATTCATTTGTGTTTGTATGTGGATTTACCTATCTATATGCACACAAATGGAGTTATTTGTGTGCATGTATATAATTGCATATTAGGGATTTAAATAATACAACATACATAATTATACACATTATAGGCATATAGTTTCATGCATAATTACTTTATCATATCTAAATATGTACAGAAATGAATGTATTTGTATGCATATATATTCAGAAATGGATTTGTGTGTGTATGTATATAATTGTACATTAGGAATCTTAATCATACAACATAAGTTATATAGGTAATTACACACATGGCATACATATAGTTATATAATTATAATACACACACACAAAAATGGATGCATTTGTGCATGTATATACATACATTGATTTATTTTTGTGTGTACATATATAATTGTATATTAGGAATTTTAACAATACAACATATACACATATTACATGTTATTAGATGCTAACATAATTATTGTGTATCCATACACAATGGATTTATCTCTGTGTGTGTATATATACACACACAAATTGTTTTTTTTATGTACATAAAATAATATACTGTATTATTAATTGTATTACATACATACACAATTATAACAACATACATACACAAATAGATTTGTGCATGCATATTTAAAAATCAAAAAGAAGAGTGCTGAAAATGAAAATGCACAACAATGGTAACATTTTAGTAAATTATTTAAAATATTTTTGTTTTCTATTAAGGGAAAGTAATTCTTGACCTACAAGACATGCATTTACTGCCACCCTAAGCTCACATTCTTCTTGTGTAGTCCAGGCTTTCCCCCTTCACTTTCGGTGTATTTTGAGATTGTGAGCCTTTCAGGGCTGGTTTGTACAGTCCCTAGTACACATTAATCCAATATTACCTGGGCTTTTGTGCAGATAAAAATAACAAATATTTCTTGGTTTGGCAGTGGTTGAAGTAACCAAACAAATAGTTTTCTATTTTGAAGATAACTATAATTCTGAACCTATTGTAGATATTTTTTCCATGAACATACACTTTCCCTAATAATTACTTAAATTGGTTGTAAAGCCAAGCAAATAGAAGGGGACCTCATTTCTAAAAATCTATGGTCCAAGTTTCTGTAAAAATATAGGCTTGAAAAGAATGAAAGTAGCCCCATATAAGTGCATACATGTTTC